GGATGAATATCAAATAGTGCTTTTATTAGAAAATTAAATTCAACAAAGGTGGATGAGATATTTTGCGAAACTTTTTAATATTGTTTTGAAGATTAAAAAGATATCAGATGAGTGGAGAATGAGCGTGTTGATTTCTAATTATAAGAATAAAGGTGATGCACAAGATTGTGTGAATTATAGATGAATTAGGTTCGTGTGTCATACTTTAAAATTATGGGAGAGATTTATGGAGCATATGTTGCGGCGTGACACTAATGTTTCTCTAAATCAAATTGGATTCATGCTAGGTAGGTATACTATGGGAGCTATACAGTTATTGACAAGTTAAATGGAGAAATATAGAGAGAATAAGGAGGATCTACATATGATATTTATTGATTTAGAGATGGCATATGACATAATTCCTAGAAGAAATGGTTTGTAGAAGAAATATTTAAAAAAATAAATAAAAAAAAATTTAAAAAAAAAATATGACATAATTTCTAGAGAAGTGCTATGGAGAGTTCTAGAAAAGAAAGTGGTAAATAATGCTTATATTCAAGTCATTAAGAATATGTATGTAGGAGTTGTTACTTGTGTTGAAACACAAGGTGGTTTGACCAAGTATTTTCCAATTTTTGTTGGATTACATCAAGGTTCACTCTTCAGCCCTTATCTTTTTGCTTTAGTCATGGATGTTCTCACTAGACAATTGCAAGAGGTTGTACTCTGGTGTATGCTTTTTGCTGATGATATTCTTCTTGTTGATAAGATTAGAGAGGGAGTTGAAGGTCAACTTGAATTATAGATATCAACTTTATAGATATCTTGGGTCTATTATTCAAAGTGATGGTGAAATTACTGAAATAGATGAGAAATTATAAGTAGAATTCAAGTTGGATGGTTAAAATGGGGGAATGCATTAAGCTTGTTGTGTGATAGAGAAGTCCCCCTCAAACTTAAGGAAAAATTCAATAAGATGATGATGAGACCTGCAATGCTTTATGGTGTAGAATGTTGGCCATTAAAAGAGAAGCATAATATTATCTTAAGTGTTGGGTTTTACTCTTAGAGACATGATACGAAATTTGCATATACGTGAAAAGTTTGGAGGAGCTCCAGTGGAAAATAAGATTTGAGAGAGTTGCCTTAGATGGTTTGATCACATAAAACGGTGATCTTTCGATGACCAAGTTAGGAAAATAGATGTATTAGATTTTGCTTATGTTAAGAAAAACAGGGGTATACCTAAAAAGACTTGTTAGAAAATATTAGAAATTGCGATTTTTCTTTATTAGAATTAAATAAGAAATTTGACTCTTAATAGGACACAATGGAGAAAAATGATTTATGTAGTCAAACCCACATAGTAGGATAAAGGCTTGATGTTGTTGTTGTTATTGTAATATTCTTCATATGTAAATTTGTGCATTTCTTGATTAATATTTTTACCGTATATTTTCAATATTATTGTTGTAAACGTGAGAGAAAAAGAGAATCTAGAAAAAAAAATCTAAAAAATTCACTAGTTTGCTAGAAAATACAAGACTTTAACAAATAATGGAGAGGATTCATTCATGGCCTCTGTATCACACTACTCCAACATCTTGCTATTTTCAGCTTTTTAACATTGAAACAATTTTCTAGTGTATTCTCATAGCTTTGGTCTTCATCTTCATCTC